GATGTCTTATTTTTCCATGAAGAAGAATACGGTACAAATTTATTGTTAAATGAAAATAAAGGAAATTTATTACCTGAATACAGTATGGTAGTATGGTAGTTGTCAACACAAACTGTGAATCCTACAGTATCAAGAATTTACTCATTTATTCAATGACAATCATGTCATCATCTTCTGGAACATCATCACAACAATCCAATTCTTGAATTTCCTGGTGAATTTCTTGTGACTCCATTTCTTTCAGAATCAGTGGACCAAATCTCTCATGTTTAGCAATAGCACTATCTTTAAATGAGTACTTCTTGTCAAGGTAGCCTGCTCACAGTGCATTTGCAGTGCAACTGTCAGTGATTTTTCTCCCATGAATTCTTCACCCAAGTCACAACTTCTTGCAGTTTAGGTTCCACAAAGTTTCCACGCTGATTTCTCTCCATTCTATTTTCAATGTAGTCATTAATTTCTATGTGCAAATTGTCTTTGAATGGCTTGTTTATTGCAATATCAAGAGTCTGGAGATAGGCCATCATTCCTGCGGGAATCATTATCTGATCCATTTTTCTTTCATGAAGAAATGTCTTCATGTCTTTAGCGCAGTGAATGCTGGCTGCGTCCCAGACTAGCAGACCTCTTTGGCTCCCTCACATAACAAGCAGCAGCATTAAATCTACCCACTTCCTTATAACTGCTTGTGTGGCCCAGGCTTTTTCAGTTTCAAGAATAAAAACGCCTAAAACACGTTCAATCTTTTCCTTCTTGTCCTTAGAAATGATGAAAGGTGGGATTTTAGTGCCATCCAGATGAATTGCCAAAGTACAGGAAACACGTGCACTTTAATAAGCAGTGGAGGGAATGTACACTAAGGAGGCACCCTGCTGTTCAATTGTTGTTTGAGATGATTGGCCCATAAACACTGCAGTTTCATCCATAGCAATCATGTTGGAAAGATTGTATTTAGAGAAGTCAGCATCATCAATAAAGGACTTGAATGCAAGTGCTCGCTTAATAACTTGAGTATCTTCCAACCTAAACAATGTTGTAGATCTTCTTAAAGACAGTTCACTTCGCTGAAGGAAATTATCCAGCCAGTGTTGTGATGCTTTGAAGTCTGTGGGGGCTATGTCAAACTGTGGTGCCATTGCAAGGGTAAATTCTTGAATCTGAGCCCTATTCACAACCAAAGCCTTTGCTCTCCTGTCCACAACCCATTCACAGATCAGGTCTTCCAGATCGGAAAATAATGGTTGCCGACCAGATCCACACTTGCGCTTTTTCGCATTTCCCTTGTCCACTTGTTCAATGAGGTTACCATATTCTGCTCGCCATTTTCGGACCGATCTGATACTCAACAGCTTCTCTTTGCAGAAAGCAGTAAGATTTTGGCCCCAAGAGTCTTCCACAGAGTAGCTTTTTCTTTTTGCACTCATTTCTAGGGGTAAAAAAAAGGAATTGGGGTATCAAGGTAGGGGGAGGGGGATCACTTAAAATGACACGGGGGGATCAGAGGTGGGAATCAAAATGGCACAGGAGAATCAGAGGGGGAATTACCATTTTAGTAACCCCTTTTGATCCTCCTGTGTCATTTTGATTGCCCCCTCTGATCCTCCTGTGTCATTTTAAGTGATCCCCCTCCCCCCATCCCTGTGCCACTGAACACCTTCACCAGACATCCCCCCTACCCCTTTATCAGACATTTACCCCTTGGGCCTGCCTGGGGACTGTCACTGGGCTGCTGGGGCCTGGATCTGGGCTGGAGCAGGGTCTGCCACTGACTGAGAACCTTCAGTCATCATGAGGGCGGCCGCGAGCATCAGGTAGTACCACCAGAGACAGACCAGCACTCACTACCTTTGCCTCGTCCTATCTGCTCTAAATCTCCTGTTCCTCTACACACATCTGCGAAAGTCTCCTCCTCTCTCTCGCCCAGTGCTTAACTGCTCACTCCGACCTCCGCTCTGCCTCCACACAGCAGTGATGTCAGGACTCCGCATAACATCACTGGTTGCTAGAAGCCAGTCGGGGCGGCCTTAGGGACCAGTTTACGGTAAATTAATTTTCATTCTGAGACAGAGGTTGGGGGGCCTTATTTTCGGGGGGATGCCTTATATTTCACTCAGAAGGAAACCTGTTAGTAGGTCTTATTTTCGAAGGATGTTTTATTTTCGGGGAAACACGGAACTAGGTATTAAGAATAGTGTAACAAAAGACAAGAAAGTCAAATTCAAGTGTATTTCACAAATTATCCTTTGTTTTTAAACAAATGCTTTTACAAAAAGCAAAATAGTAGAACTAACCTATGCATGTGTGTATATATAGTCCCTTTATCTACCTTCTTTTTCCTACTAAGAAATCTTAAAACTGTGCTATTTAGAGCAAAGAAGTAAGAGCGGAGAGAATTCACAGAGATGAGTATCAAACAGAAAGTTCTTTTCTCAAACCAACTGGTTTTAATTAATGCTGCCTAGATATAAAACTTGTTCTTAAACAGAACTCTGTTCTTATCCTGTTCAATCTGTAGTTTCAATAATGAGCAAATACAAAGTCTACTCCATTCAGAGGGAGACAGAGAAGATTGTACTCTGAGAATGAAGAAAGAGATCAGCCATACTAATTTGTTCCAGTGCTCCTCCCAAACTGTGTATATATTTAGTTTTTACTACGCTTGGCATATACTGAATCTCAGAGGTATAAATGAAGAGGCTGCAATACAGAAGACAATTACAGACTTTTAGAAAGAACAATAAGAAAAAAGGAAAAAGCTCTGGTCTAAGTTTTGTGAAAAAAAGCATATGTAGTCTCAGGCAAGTCAACTCAGCCTCAGTTTTCTAAGCTGTCAAATATGAATGATGAAACCTTGTCCTACCTCCCTAATAAAGCCGATATAAAACTTTTTAATACTCTATAAATGAGATACTATTATGAACCCCCAAACAGGGGGGCTCTGACTATAGGAGGTGTTTTTGTTTTATGATATATAATAAAACAAGAGGCCTGGTGGGTGGGGACCCCGTGGCCTGGTCTGTGGGGATCAGGCTGAAACCAGCTCTCTGAAATCCTCTGAGGGGTCCTGGATTGCGAGAGGGTGCAGGCCAGTCAGAGAAATCCCACTAACAGGAACAGGGAGGAACTGCAGGAGGGGCTCCATGGTGTGTATGGCACATATCTCTCAGTCCATATGGGCCAGATGCCAGCAGCAAACTAACCTACTGGTTAGAGTGTCTGCCCCCTTGTGGTCAGTGTGCACCATAGCGACTGGTTGAAGGGTCAAATGGTTGGACTCTTAGCATATTAGGCTTTTATATATAGCAACATGTTTTGGAAGTAAAATTTACTTTGAGGTAGTTTGCTGGTTTGTCTAGATTCATATTCCCAGCAGAAAGCCAAAAGGAATGAAGGAGACCAACTATTCTAACAAATTCCAGGAGTAATGTCTGTCTATCTGTCTGTCTCTTTCTCTTTAACAAGTAACTCAGTGTCTTTGGCTTTTTGTCATTCCAAAATTCTTTTCTGCTAACATAATATGCTCCCTTCTTTTGATTCAGAAATCATAATATTGTTTCTGAACTCAGAACTTATATGAAACTATAAGAATATTACAGGTGGTATTGATCTGGACTCAGTAGATCCAGAGAGCTTCAGGGCTCTTTCACATTAGGATATCTTTTAAGAGAAACATCTTCAGTCCATAGCCAACATGCCATGAAGCTAAGAGTGTTCACCTGCTTCAATATCTGCCATCACAATTTATAAATTCTGAAAAGATTTGCCATTTTAATGCAATTAAAGTGAGGATTATATACCAAGTAAATTTCTTTTTTTAATGTATTTTTTATTGATTTTGTACAGAGAGGAAGGGAGAGAGTTACAGAGTTAGAAACATCGATGAGAGAGAGTCATTGATCAGCTGCCTCTTGCACACCCCCCATTGGGGATATGCCTGCAACCAAGTACATGCCCTTGACCGGAATCGAACCCGGGACCTTTCAGTCCCCAAGCCGACGCTCTATCCATTGAGCCAAACCGGTTTTGGCACCAAATAAATTTCTATGAATAATTAATTCTTACATTTTCATCCAAACCTATTACTTTTGAATTTTTTTAATCCTCACCAACGATATTTACCTAATGAATTTGACAGCTTCCATTGATTTTTCAGAAAGAGTGAAAGGGAGGGGAGAGGAACTGAGAAAGAGAGAAATACTAAGGTGAGAGAGACACATCAACTGGTTGCCTCCCACATACTCCCCAACTGGGGCCTGGGAACAAGCCTTCAACCAAGGTATGTGCCCTTGACTGGGAATCAAACCCTTCAGTCTACGGGCTGACCCTCTAACCACAAAAGCAAACTGGTCAGGGCCACACCTATTACTTTTTAAGCTAAAATGAATATTTTTATAATAGTATGTCAAATAAAATAAAAACAACATGTATAACCCTAGCCAGTTTGGCTCAATGGATAAAGCATCAGCCTGTAGACTGAAGGATCCTGGGTTCAATTCTGGTCAAGGACACATGCCAAGGTTGTGGGCTCAATCCCTAGTGTGAGGTGTCCAGGAAGCAGACAACCAATGATTCTCTCTCATCATTGATGTTTCTCTTTCTCCGTCTCTCTTCCTTTCTGAAATCAATAAAAATACATATTTCATAAAAAGTATGTATATTCTGCCCACAAAAATATCCATCATCTTAAAAATTAAATTAGAAATAGTATCATTTTATGGACTTTTATATAAATACATGCATTGTTGTTTTTTTTCACATGTTTCTATTGATTTTAGAGTGAGGAAGGGAGAGGGGGGAAGCAAAACATTGATTGGATGCCTCCTACACTCCCCCTACTGCTGATCGAGCCCACAACCTTGGCATATCCTCTCACCAGAAATTGAACCATGACCTCCTATTTCCTGGGATGACACAATCAACTGAGCCACACCAGCCAGACTAGAAATAGGTATTAATAAAAACTATTCTAAATGTATAGAATCAAGGTTTTGGGAATTTACCTAATTAATTTGACAGCTTCCAGCTCCCTGGCAGTTGGTAAAGTCATCTTCAGGAAAACCATGTTGAATATGCACTCTTTCAGAAGTGCTGCTGCCTTCCTCACATCACTAATGGTTATGGTAACTTTTGCTATATTTGAAAACAATTTCTGTACAATATCAGACAGGTATTGAACAGTGGCTTCTCCAACTAATAAGATGTCTATTTTTGCCTGAAAGAGAAGGAAAAAATAATAAGTACCACATAATTAATATCTGGACATAGAGAAAAAAATGTCATATATGAGAGGACAGAATGAAGTTCACAAATTACACAATAAGTGACTATACAACTGGACTCAGTGGTCAGCTATAAGCACCTTGAAACAGGAGCTATTAATTTCTTTTCACAGTTCCTAGGACAATGAATAGATCTGAAGGTCATGCTATTTTTAAAAGTTTTGCCTACAAAAATTATTTTCTTATGGTTTTCTGGAAAGTTTCCTACTTATCCTATTAACAACAGATAGGATTCTTATGGACTAGTTTCCCAATCACCTTTTTTGATGGAAAATCTTTTTACTAATGAGAGAACCAAACTGGTTATTCTACCAAACTATTTTTTTTTTACTCTCAAACAGCTTGATGTAACACAAATTCTATAAAACAGAGTAATCTTTAGATTCCTAAATTCCAAGGAAATTCAAAGTTTTTTTATTTGAATGGCATATATATTCTATTCAAATATCAATATAATGAATCAAAAACTTTCTTTATTTCCATTTAGGGATATTTTAAAGCACATTCATTAGGGAAAATATAATTTTCATCTTTATCTTCTATTCCCTATAGAAGAAACTTTGACTACTGAAAATATCAAAGAATGGACATGCTTCCCATCAGTAGACAGTTGGAAATGTCAGGCCCTACACAGTTCCACATGAAAAAACAGATTTGGGAACTGATCAGAGTGAAGCCTAATCCTAACCCTAACCCTAACCCTAACTCTAACCCTTACTTTTTATTGAGTAAGAACCAAGAGGAAATGAAGAAGAACCAAGAAGAAATGAAAAATGGCATCTCTGCTATAAAGAACTCAATAGAAGGCATCAAAATAAACTAGAAACAGCAGAAGACTGCATCAGTGAACTAGAAGACAAGATGGAAAAAAATACCCAAGTAGAGTAGCTTCTAGAAAAAAAAAAAATTAAAAAGCAGGAGGAGAGCCTAAGGGAACTTTGGGACAACACAAAACAAAACAACGTCCATATAATAAGGGTTCCAGAAGGAAAGGAAATGGAGCAAGAAATAGAAAGCCTGTTCAAAGAAATAATGACAGAAAACTTTCTCGATATAGGGAAGACAAAACCAACACAAATCCAAGAAGCTCACAGGTCCCAAGCAAAATGAACCCAAAAGACTTACACCAAGGCACATTACAATTAAATTGGCAAACACCAACGACAAAGTAAGAAACTTAAAAGTGGCCAGAGCGAGACAGAAAGTTACATATAAAGGAACCCCAATCATACTAGCAACTGATTTCTCAACAGAAACTCATCAGGCCAGAAGGGAATGGAATGAAATATGCAAAGTCATGCAAAGGAAGGGTCTGAATTCAAGAATACTGTACCCAGCAAGGCTATCAATCAAAATTAAAGGTGAAATCAGGAGCTTTACAAAAAAGAAAAAAAAGGACTAAGAGAATTTCACCACCAAACCAGCAATGCAAGAAATGCTTAAGGATCTACTGTAAAAAAATAAATAAACAAATAAATAAATAAATAAATAAATAAATAAATAAATAAATAAAATTTTAAAAAAGAAAGAAAGAAGAAAGAAAGACAACAAATTGGAAATGAAGAAGAAACACAGGAGTATAGAATAAAAATGGCGACAAATAAGTACCTATCAATAATAACTTTAAATGTAAATGGATTAAATGTCCCAATCAAAAGACATAGGGTAACAGATTGGATGAGAAAACAAGACCCATATATCTACTGTCTACTAGAAACCCACCTCACAAAAAAAAAAAAAAAGATGCATACAGACTGAGGGTGAAGGGATAGAAAAAGATTTTGCAAGTGAATGGAAATGAAATAAAAGCTGAGGTACCAATACTTATATCTGGAAAATTAGATCTCAAAGTGAGGGACATAACAACAGATAAGGAAAGCCACCTCATAATACTAAAGGGAGCAACCCAACAAGAATAAATAATTCTGGTAGACATATATGCACCCAATACAGGAGCACCAAAATACATTAAAAAAAAAAAAAAAACACATGGAGGATATCAAGGGAGAGATTGACAGCAATACAACCATAGTAGGAGACTTTAATACCTTACCATCACCATTGGACAAATTACATAAACAAAAAATCAGCAAAGAAACATCAATCCTAAATGACTTACTAGACCAGATGGAATTAATTGACATCTTCAGAACATTTCGCCCCAAAGCCACAGAATATACATTCTTCTCAAGTGCACATGGATCATTTTCAAAGATAGATCGTATGTTGGGACATAGGCAAAGTCTTTTCAAATGCAAGAAGATAGAAATCATATCAAGCATCTTCTCAGATTACAGTTGCATAAAACTAGAAATCAACTATAATAAAAACAATCCAAAGAAATCAAATACATGGAGACTAAACTGCATGCTATTAAACAATGACTGGGACATAAGAGAGATAAAGGAAGAAATAAAAATAAAAAAAACATCATAGCAACAAATGACAATAAAAATACCACAACCCAAATCTATGGGACACAGCAAAAGCAGTCTGAAGAGGGAAGTTCAGAGATCTACAAGCCTACTGCAAAAAAAAGAAGAAAAAAAAAAGTATTAAATTACCTAACCCTACAACTCAAAAAGTTAGAAAAAGAACAACAAGAAAACTCAGTGTAAGCAGAAGGAAAGAAATAATAAAGATCAGAGTGGAGATAAACAACATAGAGACCAAAAGAAACAATACAAAAGATAAATAAAATCAATAATTGGTTCTTTCAAAGGATAAATAAGACTGATGAACCTCTAGCCAGACTCACCAAGAAGCAAAGAGAGAGGACCCAAATAAACAAAAACAGAAATGAAAGAGTTGAAATAACAACAGACCCCACCGAAATACAAAGTATTGTTGAAAAATACTATGAACAACTCTATTCCAACAAACTGGACAACCTGGAGGAAATGGACATATTCCTAGAAAAATATAACCTTCCAAAACTCAATCAGGAAGAATCTAAAAATCGCATAGGCTGATGGAAGAAATTGAAGCAGTCATCAAAAAGCTTCTAGCAAACAAAAGCCCAGGGCCAGACGACTTCACAGGAGAGTTTTACCAAACATTCAAGGAAGAACTAAACCCTATCCTCCTCAGACTATTCAAAAAAATTCAAGAGGAAGGAACACTTCCAAGCTCCTTCTTTGAAGCCAGCATCATCCTCATACCAAAACCAGATAAAGACAACACAATGAAAGAGAATTACAGGCCAATATCCCTCATGAACATAGATGCCAAAATCCTCAACAAAATTCTAGCAAATTGGCTCCAGCAGCACATCAGAAAGATCATACACCATGGCCAAATAGGATTCATTCCAGGAATGCAAGGATGGTACAATATCCACAAATCAATAAACATGATACATCACATAAACAAATTAGAATAAAAATCACAGTCATATCAATTGATGCAAAAAAGCATTTAATAAAATCCAACATCCTTTCTTGATAAAAACTCTCAACAAGGTGGGAATAGAAGGATCATACCTCAACAAATAAAAGCTATATATGATAAACCCACAGCAAACATCATACTCAATGAGCAAAAACTAAAACCATTTCCCCTAAGAATAGGAACAAGACAAAGATGCCCACTCTCACCACTCCTGTTTGACATAGTACTGAAAATATTAACCATTGCAATTAGACAAAAAGAAGAAATAAAAGGCATCCAAATTGGAAAAGATGTAGTAGAGCTGTCCTTATTTGCAGATGACATGATATTGTACATAAAAAAAAGACTCCATCAAAAAACTAATAGACTTAATAAATGAATTCGGCAATGTAGCAGGATACAAAATTAATGCCTAGAAATCTATGACCTTTCTATACACCATGAGTGAAGTTACAGAAACAGAGACTATAAAAGCAATCCCATTTACCATCACACCAAAAAAAACCTAAGATACCTAGGAATAAACAAAAAGCCTCTCAGGCAACAAACAAAGGAGAGAATGTGCAAGTATGAGTCAGTTTACTGTTGGGAGCCGAGTCCCCTACTGACCTGAGAATCAGGGGATGGAACAAGGGTGGGTAGCCCTGCCTGCTCTCCCCCACAAGCCGGGTCACTTGGGGACGTGGCAAGCAACAGTGTCCTTCGTTCTGCTGTGCGTGCAAGAATTGGAATCTGCAAACATGTCCTTGAATTAACATAGCAGAGCACGGCTGGATGAACCTTTCTGGCTAGATACCTTCCTGCGGAGGTCTTAAGGAACTGGCACGTAGCATCATGTTCTTGGAGAAAGCCATTTGGAGGAATGCCCAGCTTTAGTGTATAAAAGAGATTGCGCCCTTAATAAACTTGCTGCAGTGCCCTCGAGCATTCCAGCCCTCCAGAAGCCCTGCTGTTCCTGTCTTTCTTTTTCTCAGCCTCCTAGCCATACCTCCAGGACCTGTTTTACCAGCTGGTTCCGGTAGTTTACCACTAAAGCTGGAGTTGTTAACATCTTGTAAAAGTGTTGTCTGGGAATATTTTCATGTTTTTTGCTTCTGTGGCTGGAGAAATGGGTGGTTATCACAGTTTTAAAACATGAAGAGGCCATCAAGAATGTTGATGTTGCACCCTAGCCGGTTTGTCTCACTGGATAGAGCATCAGCCTTGGGACTCAAAGGTCCCAGGTTTGATTTCGGTCAAGGGAATGTACCTTGGTTGCAGGCACATCCCCAGTAGGGGATGCTAATACATGCTTCTCTCTCATCGATATTTCTAACTCTCTATCCCTCTCCCTTCCTCTCTGTAAAAAAATCAATAAAATAAATTTAAAAAAAAAAAAAAAGAAGAATGTTGAGCCGAAACCGGTTTGGCTCAGTGAATGGAGCATCGTCCTGCAGACTGAGGGGTCCTGGGTTCGATTCCAGTCATGGGCATGTACATTGGTTGAGGGCACATATCCACTGGTGGGTGTGCAGGAGGCATCTGGTTGATGTTTCTAGCTTTC